ATAAAGATGTGTTGTCAGATCACGCCGCAGCTGCTAGATCATCGGAGAACGAATCCCGGATACCCGCTTGATATGACGCTGGGTGGACCCCAGAGCCAATGTGGACCAGTTGGCGAGCAAAGAAATCCCTGTTTCCGCCCGAAATCGAACCACTGTCGTCCGCCCCGTAGACTAGTCACTTTTCTGACTGGGCTACCCTGATTCACCTGCAGATGGAGGGTGGGAATTTTGTGGTTTGTTTCTGTATTTATAATTTTTAGGTTGTTTTTGTTCAAACTTTTTACGCTGTCGCTACACTTCCACGATCTTCCAACCAGAAGGAAGATCGTGTATTTTTATTTTCTAATCTCAAACATCCTGTCCTGAACTTTCACTTCCGTGAGTGATGCGTATGTTGTTGTTTTTTTTTTTTTTTTTTTTTTTTTTTTTTTTTTTTTAGCATATCAACTTTGTCTCAGTCTCACAGAAGCCTATGTATGTGTTTTTGTTTACATAATAGTTGATTTAAAGGGATGTTCCATTCCTAGTGTGTATGTGTGTGTATATATAATGTGAAATTTAATTAAAATATATTTATAGCAGATTTCAGGGTTTTCTTTAAATTCCTTCAGTTATGCTCTTTTACAAACGTTTTAGTAACATTTTTAGGAATAAGAAGAACGCCTGAAGATCTTTACTTTACCACATGCGTCCAGAATTGGCTATTTATGGCGTGCATTTATATAATTTGTGTAGTTTACTTCTTAATCATGGAACTAATCTAAAAGCAGCCTTTATTTCGTCACGAGGTTTACACGACGGTGCGTCGGAAGATGGCTGTCTTCTGGGTTGTAGCGCCGTTTAGTCTCGTAAAAATTTACCGACATTTCATAGGTCCTTGCTGCCTCCATCATCTGGGCGAGCAGGGCATCTAGGCCCTTTGAAACGTCGGTAAACTTCTATCAGACTAAACGGCGCTAAAACCCAGAAGACAGCCGTACCTGGTAACACCCGTTGTTTGTGAACATTTCGTACTACTGTGACCTATGACCTCTGAGCCCTTTGTCGTCTCACAAAATATTCATCAAACGTCAACGATTGCCCGTTGGTTTTTCGCGGTGGATGCTGTCGATAAACAGCGCGCAACGAGCTGTGGTGTAACCAATCGTCATTCAGCACGCGTTGCCTCGTTCGTAGGTTACCTAACGATCCTCTGTCAACAGCGAAGAGAATGAAAAACAGTCGAGGATTGTTGTGAACAATGAGCATGAATTTGATGTTTAATTTGTAGGCTGCAGTGAAGTCAATGCACCTAACATTTCGGTGATTGTCTGTAGGCTAAAGCGAAGTTTATACCATTTTGAGCAAGAATTTGAACTCCATAGTGATAGCTGAAACGTATACTTATAGTGTTTGTAAAGTTTAAACAGCTTGGCATGAGATCATTTATTTGTAAGAAGAATATATTCAGGTACGAAACATTCTAAGAAAGCACGTACTAGTAACGACGTGGTAATTATTATACAAGAATATGGTCGTATGTGGTTATAACCAGAAATAGTGGATTAGTGACTGATAAGCAGACATCGTTATTACCAGTTAATTTATTTATTTTTATAATATAATTTCTCTTACACTTAGGATTTTAAAGAGGATCCTGCTTCAGTATTTATGTTGTGATCTCTGATGCTGTCTTACCACCGCGTTAGAATGTGGTTGTCGTTTTTCGGACTTTGTTATTTCCTCCAGCTGTGATAGCGACGTGTTACCACTTCAGTACATGCTGCCACGACATAATGCGATTTTAATCGCTATTTTTCATCGTTTATGGCCATTGTTCTGCATTAGACAGAATTGAGTTATTCGTTTTAATGATGTAATGCAGATTCTGACTGCCTCTTCCGGTCTTTAAAAATCGTGGAAATAATTTAATTTAGGACTACAGTGCTTATTTGTAGTTTATTTAAACGCTGTCAGTGGCTCTGGCTATTTAGTGTCTAAATGTAGGCGATTAATGAACGATGAATTGTGAATTATATAGGAGGAAGCAATCGTGGCCTAATTTAAAGTACTACCGCGACATTTTACTGGAGGGACTGAAGGAAACCACGACAAACCTCAGTCAGCATAGCCGGTTTCATGTCAGAGATTTTAACCCAGGTTCTCCCGAATACGAAGCAGGAGTGTTTGCCACTCAACTGCGACATTTTTTGCCTACTTTATTTCTGATTAAAAGTAATATAAACGGAACCAACACTGACAGTGCTGATAATTGTTGGAAGAGAACCGTAACAGAGTAACAGCAGGGAACAGACCTTGAGAAACCAATATTTATCCAGCTAGTCAAGAAATGTTTCGCCTTTTATAAAAATTGAAGGTTCCATCCATTACTTGCTCATAGGAGCCCAATTCTGGTCTCTGTCCTGAGCCACATGAATCCAGTCTGTACCCTCCTATCTTATTTCTTAAGAACCGTTTTAGAAAAGGTCTCATCCCTTCAGATTTTCTGATAAAACGCTTTTATTGTGACCTTCTCTTTACATAAATAGCAGCGGTAGTAGTAGTAAACTGCGAAGATGTGGCAGAGTTACGATGACTTTGTCGCACATATAACAGTAAGTATTCTAACATGTCGAGATATCTCGTTCATAACAGGCAACGTATAAAAACGCATCTGTAGCCTCATAATCAGCACCAATTCCAAGTTATAATAACTCTCACCTTCCATGGGTCTCGCGTTCGCTGCAGAATTGGTTCACTAAAATGTTAAAACAAATAATACAAATTTGCAAAGATATATTTCGTTTTCTTTAGCGAAGAAATTATTTAGGGTCCAATCGAAAAACATTGGTATCAGAAAACTTTTACCTTTTCACTCAGGAAATAAATGCATACAACAGAAAGTAGCGAGTTTCTGAGGAATAATAAATAAAAGTAAATTGTGGTAGTTCTTAAAGAGACTGGTAGTTTTCAGGATCTGACTACAGAGTGCAGGGAAGTCGGTATTCGTCACGACAACTTCTCGTTTGTTCATTGATCCATGAGGAACTATGTATAGGTGCTGGGGGGAGGGGGGGGCTGAAGGTGCCCCACTTGGCTTCAGGATTTGACCTCCTTGTTAGACTTTGATGGGGAACCACACACTTCTTTGCTAACAATAAATATACTGTATAAGCTTCTGCAACTACTACACACATATTAAGATCTGCAACAAAACGCAAAATTGCTGTAATGTTACTTAAAATATTTTTTAAAACTATATCAGATGGTATCATTTATTTTTTATCAACCTCTCTCCTTTGCCACCATTGTTCAAACAGAGTGTTGTTCTTTACATATGGTGGCCTGGTGGTAGTAAAGGGTGACTTCTGTCTGCTTGTTTGGAAAGGGGAAGTGACGAAGGTTTACAAAAAATAATTACTGCAGCGCGGTTTAAAATTTTTGGGAATTCATGCTCGTAGCGTATTACAGTTCATTATATCAAGGCTACCCATCTTACCGCGCGGTTCTAAGTTAACAGCACAGTGTTGCCCGCTTTGCTACTCCGTGAGTTTCGAGTTGTCTTCACTCGCCTGGGTTCCGTTGCTCTTATTCCAAAATTGTACGATTTTTCTGTGACCTTTGAAGCGTGAAGTTTGTTGACGGCTACTGTAATGAAGTAATTGATTGACAAACTAATTGTATAAGCACATCTGTTATACATTGCTATATTAATATATTTTGGTCATGTAAAACTGAATACCATGACTTCCGAAAAGGGGATATTTTAGTTAGAGAGGCGATTGAAACGAGGCATTCAGATATTGAAATACGCTCTTATTTTATATTAATATTGACCGATTTTTACTTAAATAGCTATCTTGACGTCTTCAAGCACGATTCAAGAGTACTGAGTTTATTTTCAGGCACATCAAAACTTTTTTAAAATTAATTTAAATTCGTATAATTTTTTCCGAATTCCTTTTGAATCTGTCGTTACGACGTTTATGTTGTGTACATGTCACGTATGGTTTGTACCAAACAAATTTGAGTTTGTAAGACTTGAGGTTCTCACAGCGCAATAACCCAGAAGACAGAAATCTTCAAATTTGAGTTTGTTCCAGTCAGTTAACTGTTCAGTAGCAATGGTGTTTCAGATCTTGTAATTGATAATGTTGTGTCACCGAAAGTAAACTCAGATTCCAATTGCTTCCTAAGACTGTACTACTGATGAAACAATAGTCCTACTATTAATTTGTTTGTGGCTTTAATAGACTGATTTCCGAACAGAAACAGATTGTGAAGATAGCAGTTTTCTGTGGCGTAGCGCCGTGTATTCGGTAGATGTTAACTAACATTTCTGCTTGTTGCGTCTATCATCGGGTGATAACCCTGATGATGGAGGTAGCACGAACCTATGAATCGTCTGAAAACTTTTACCAGACTACGGCGCCACAACCCACTACCGTGAAAACCTCAAATCCTACTTGGAAATAGACCGCTTTAGTGAGTAAAGTATGCTGGCAGTGTGCCTGTGTGCGAATATTTTTAATCTTAATATTTCTTCAAGTAACTAAGTGACTTATAAAACATTACACGTCGGTAAAGCCCGGTGGGTAAGAAGGGTGACTCCATTCGGAATGATTGTGGATCGATTCTGGTTTTTGTCTGCATTTCGCCTACATGAAACCTGTCATAGTTTCTGGAAATTGACAGTAAGACTTCCTACACATCCCTTTCAAACTAAATAATTAATGAAGAAGACTGTTGTTTGGGATTCACAGATAGCGAAAGTTTTGCAACGCTTACCTACAGAATTTTTCTACCTCTAAAGGTAGGAATATTCTGTAAGTACCTAATGGTTTTATTGAAATGTATCCATTTTAACTGCAGGACATAGTTTAACTGTGAGTTTTGTGTTGTAATAATTAGTGGTATATCTTTGAACAACGACTTCTGTAGCTTAAGCGGTCGGACGTTGGCTTCTTACAGCCGAGAACAAGGTTTAGTCCCAAATGACTTCACATGAGATTCGTGGAAGACGAAGTGTCACTGGAGCAGGTTTATTTCCGAGTTCTTCTTCTACTCCTGCAAATAATTTTTCCACAGTTGCTCTACACTCATCTTTCGCTGCCCCACGAGGTGTGCGATGCCTTTGACCAAGTTGCACATTATCAGATTGTCGGTCGTAAGTTATGGGCTGGCTTCATCTCTGACCCTGCGCTTGTCTGGTGTCCGAGTAAAAGCGGATTAGTACGAATTTCTAGAATCTGAAGATAACCGGGTAAGTTACTATGTCTGCTTGGCAGAGTCGCCCTCACGTAGATCAATACTGTTCATAAAACACACCCACAGTTTCGTATAAATTTTGTATAAGTATTTACGGTTTATTATTACACTTGATTTTCGTTATACAGAGTGTCCCAAAAAGATGTATACACGAATTCAATGAATGAAATAATGACATTTTAATAAACTAAATCATAAGCAAGCATTGGCATTTAATGAATTAACGAATCTATTGTAGGTGTTCGAAATGACCTCCGTTAGCTTCGTGGCACGGTCGATCGATAACAAGGTTACTATTCGGTATTATAATGTGTATACATCTTTTTGCTACACCGTACAAGACCGGAGTTCTGTTTCCGGCAATATCAAGGAGGATGTGGATTCTGTCCAGTCAGTCTCCGAAGCTCTCTTAGGACGATGTAGCTTACCGGCCGTTCACCTACATCCGTTGCCAAGGTTAAGAATGCGTGGAGGTATCCTCCATTTCTCCATACGTATTCATGGCGTGGTGCTCAGTACTTTGATCCTTAATTAAATTAAGGACTATGTGCAAATACTGTGATGAGGTCGCCACGTGTATTTTCGTCATTAGAAATTATCCTATAATAAACCTTGTGGCGTTATGACATTTCCGAGGACCGCTGGCCACACAATTTTCGGGGAACTCGTTGAATGACATTAGTTACACATTTCAGTGATCTATACGACCTGTATACATTCTGTAATTATGGATGGAAGGAAATGAAAGTTTTACAGTCGTGGCATCCATTAATAATGGAATAAAAGCCAGTCTATTAGAAAGGCAGAAACACGTGACGCTTTCATGCCTTCAGAAAAGGAAATAAGTCTGTCCATTAATCGATCGGCGTTGGCGTACCATTAAGGAATCTGGAACCAGGTAACGTGAAAGGCCGTTGAACCGCCGAGGTTTTAGTTGCGCTCCCGAATAAATTAATTGTTCTTCCCTCTGGATTCTTCATGTGGATTGTTGGACGATGACAGACTTATTAGTTAAAGTGTCAGAAATTACTTAGCTGTGAAGAAATCAGCTTTTGGGCTTTAATATGTAGATTGTAGGTTTGACTCGACTAGATGTAAACATTGCAATTTAAACATTATAATTTTGAGGTAAATCGTATCAAATGAATAATATACAATACACAATTATTTAAGTCCATGTAGACCTGTGCACTATTTTATTGTGTTTTAATGACGCTTTTTAACTGCGTAGGTTATATACGTACGTTGAATGGGTAGACGGTTTTAAATGACGAATTTGAAAGGATTTGGCCGTGGTCTATTTGGGGGTAGGTCTACTATTTCAGAAGGAAACCACGGCCTCAGTCCGAGGGTAGAGCCCAGAACTTTTGAAACACGAAAAAGTGGTGCTCACCAAATATTAGCGAAATTTAAATGTTTCTTTGCTTACTTCTTGCATATTTATTGACGAAATCGCGGGTTACATCATTTGCTAGACAGCGTAGATGGTTCTTTGTTTTAAATTCGTTAAATTTCGGATTTGCAGTAACTTTATTGTGCAGATAGTGAAATAAGATTTGAAATAATCAGTCAATAAATTTTGTTATTGCGCGTTCTTTACCTGCAGGCAGAAGACTTCGGTTTGAGACTTGATTTTTAACATTTTGTAAACTTAGGCGTTTATAATATTACCTGCTCAATGTGTTCCCACAGTAAATAAAATATTGTTTGATTTCCTTAACAAAGAATGTGAAACAATCTATTTGTGTGTCGATGGCATGTAGGCTACATAGGAAATGTGATGGTGTCGTGCGCAAATTAAACGCGCCACTTAATTCCCCTTTAAAGGGTGCATTAGTATTTCACCTAGTAACCAAAACAACGTCACAGAATTATATTTGTGTTAAGTAGCGAGGTCAGTCTCCATGACTATTCGTAACAGCTGAAAGATATTCTGATATAACGTAATGCTCACAGTTCTCTTTAAACATGAATGGCTTCAGAGAAAGATTATCCACAGTATGAAGTTCAGTGGGCTGTGTTCTTATTCGAAGTGGGTCAATACATCTCCAGCTAGTGGCGCTGGAACACTGGGAGCTCATTGTTAGACTGCATTTTGTGATAAAACTGGTACTCCGTCACGACGCCATCCATAGTATTATAAGATTATCGAGCGTGTAATTTTTTTATGTATGGCATGCAACTGTACTGTACAGTTTTATCATACCACAGAGTGGGTCTTGTGTAATTCAGAACGACTTTTCCGGATTTCCTGATTTCGTTCAATCCAGGGAATATTAAGTCCGTCGTAACACTAAATATGATCAACTTCTGCAGTTGATTGATTGATTCTTAGGTCATTTCTGACACTGAATTGATTCTAAAGGTTTCACTACATCAAATGATACGGGGCGATTTTAATTATGGCATGTCGATAAGTATTTGAAAGTAGGTGACTGTAGCCTGCTTTTCTCTCATTTGCGTGGGTGGATAAAGTCGGCCATGGCGGTATCTTTATGAAGTTTTAGTTAAGAATTATCACCCCCATTCCACGCTGTGAAACATGTATAAATGAGAGGCTCTTAAAAAAATCGTCAAACATGATCCTTTACAAACATGGCTGTCTTTTGAGTTGTCGTGCCGTGTAGTCAGGTAGAATTTTACCGACGTTTAAGAAATAGTTGCTGCCTTCCTTATCAGGGCGATAGCCCTTTTAAGCTTTGTCACTTACTCAGGCACCGACGTCAGATCTAACACATACAAGCTTTAATTTTAAAAAATCTAAATAGAAAACACGAAAGTTATATCTGATTTGTAAAATGCCATTTAAGAGCTTGGTAGTTGACATTAGACACAAAACTAGTTTTTAAACATCTTTTGAACCATGCCTACTCTAATACTCAGTGTTTGAAGTGTATTTGATTTAGAATTGTCTCAAATTAAGTTACTTCCTGTCTCTTGTTGGTGCTAGACGAGTCTTATAATTTTCCTTCCACGAGTGATTTTTTGTCTACAAGTGAACAGTATTTTTATTCTATTTGTCATTTTCTCTGCTTATCTTCTTTTATCTGTTTTCTGCCTGTTTGTTCCTGTCCGCATTTATTTTTCTTTGTACAGGTGTGCAGCTTTTTTCACGTTTCGGTTCGTTATGCCTGCTTTTATTCACGTTTCTTTTATTTTAATTTACGTGTCACATTTATATCTACTCTTTCCTCTGTGTTCGTGTCCTTTTTATGTTCGGACATTTGTCTAGAGAAGCTGATGAATGCAAGAAAAATCTTGGCAGAGATTCGAACCAGTTTCTTCTCGAATACAAGTTGAAGTGTCGCCGCTGTATCAACAGACTTCATGAATTGACTCCAAGGAGGAAACTACGAAAAGGCCTCAGTGGAGCTAGTTTTATCAGCCGAGGCTCGAACCCGCTACGAAGCAATACTGTATACTACGACATCACGTTTACTTTACTCACATGTCTTTCCGTAGAACAAGTGGCATGACTGCGTTCGGTTTGTGAGTGTGTCCCACTTAACGTGGAACCGAACACGACGCCTTACCGCAGCAACTAGCAGATACCAGGAAATGAGTTGGTCACAACGCAGATCATAGCCGTCGCATGTCATAATGTGTGTTCTGAGTCACTTGGAACTCTGTATGTGCTGCCACCCTTTTCAGGAAACATCGCACGACTGATAAGGAATGGGCATGTGTGTGTTTATGAGTGGGTGAATGAACGAGACAGATACACATGGAGCTAGCGACTTTGTTCTGCTTGCTGCGTCACAAGGCGTTTCCAACCGAAATGGGGCTTTGCTTTGTGATCGGGATTTATAGTAGTAGGGACTGTGTCTTGTTTCTTTATAGATTTTTCGACAAATGTGGTGGCAGAACAGAGAACGTTTTGAAGTCTCCCTTGTGACCTAAGACGCTGTGAAAGCGTAAAGGGACCGTGGAGGTGATCTCCTGGCGTAGTACACCTAGACACCAAGTGGAGTTTGGCGTCAAACTTCCGACACTGCTCCTGTAGAACTGTCAGTCCCACGTGGCAGAAAAGTGTTTCACTTATTTACTCTGGT